CGGATGCGCTGCCGTGGAGCTCCCCTTGGCCCTCCTCGCCGGATCCAATGCCAGCCGTCGTCGTGAGGACCACCCGCCGCGGATCCATCGGCCTAGAGCTCGCCTTGGCCCTCCACGCCGGCGGGGGAAGAAGGGAGGGAAGGGCGCTTCTTTGGGGTAGAAGAAGGGGAGGGGGGGACGCCCGTCGGGGAAGAAGAAGGGGAGGGGGAGGGAGGGGGGGCACAGCAAGGGCAAGAAGGGAGGGAGGGAGGGCATGCGCACCAGGGGGGAACAAGGGAGGGAGGGCGCCCACGGGAAGAAGGGAGGGGAGGGAGCGGCGGCGGCCGGATCCGGGGAGGAGGAGGAGGGAGGGGGCGCCTGATCCGGGAGGGGGGGGGATCCGGAGGGGAGGGAGGGCGGCGCCTGATCCGGAGAGGGGAGGGAGGGGGGGCGCCTGGAGAGGGAGGGAGGGGAGCGGCGTGGCGGTGCCGGAGAGAGGGCACAGGGAGGAGGGAGGAGAGCTGAGGGGAGGGCGACGGCGGTTAATTAAGTGGTTTTTTTCCTTTGCCGAGTGTCCTAGATCCGGGCACTCGGCAAAGTTTTTTTTTCATTTTTTTTATCCTTTCCCAGAAAAAATATGTTTTTTTCCTTTGCCGGGTGTCCTAGATCTGGGCACTCGGCAAAGTTTTTTTTTTTTTTTTTTCTTCTCCTTCTTTCCCAGAAAAAAGATTTTATTTCTTTGCCAGGCGTGAAAAAAAAAATACTCGACAAACTCCATATTTGCCGAGTGTTTTTTTTTGACACTCGACAAATCTCCTCTTTACCGAGTGTTTTTTTTTACCGAATGTTTTTAGCGTAGCACTCGGCAAAGAAATTGTTTGCCGAATACCCAAGAGAATACACTCAACAAACATAAAAACACTCAGCAAATTTGATGTTTCCGGTAGTGCAAGAAGAACGCCACGTTAGCCATCTATAGCTCTACACCTACAAATAGCTAGTCAGCCGTACGTGCCCATATGGCACCAAATTAAAAAGAGTAATCAGGTTTCACCAAATTAACTGTTGCGACAGCGCTAGTTTGAGGACCTTTCATCAGCAGACTGCTGACAGACAAGACATTAGATACAATAAGATGTGCAAGTTGACCAATTTGCGACTGCTAATCCGTAGGATATGATGATGCAGGACAAGAGACCAGCAGGACCAGCTATAGAAATTTGTATAGAAATTATGATGTGACAGTGCCTGCCTAAAGAAGCGTGAGTTGGCAGTCCATGGTCCTGTACCGGACAAGGAGTGATCTCTTCGGCTTGGGGAAATTAACAATGCTCAGCATCAGTAGTATCTCACTGCAAGTCTCAGCAACGATTGTACTATCATTAGTTTACTGTGATAGCACAGGAGTAATTTATTGTCATATATGCCTCGAATAGTGCTGCTAGCTAGCTCTATATATGTACCATATTACACATCATTACTCACTGATTCGGTAAAACTTTAGCAAGTACGGAGTACATAGTAACCATGGTAAGAAGTGATGTTTCTGGAAACTACAGTACGACACTCTCTCCGTTCTAAATTATAACTCATTTTAGCTTTCTTGCAGAGTTAAAACATCATTTTGTTTGACCAGTTTTATGTTATAAAAGAATTAACATTTATTATACCAAATAAGTATCATTAGATTCTTTATTAATTATATTTTTTATAATATACCTATTAGATGTCATAAATCTTTGTAATCCTCTCTATAATTTTAGTCAAACTTAAGATGTTTTGACTATCCGAGAAAATTGAATGATTTATAATTTGCAATGGAGAAAGTAGATTATATTGAGGTCCAAATTGACTAAAGATGAATCAACCAATTTTCTCCTGTCTCTTTTAATATGATGTTTGCATCTCATGGGGATAGATAGATAGATAATAAATAGATAGACAAGTATCAATAACAAATGAAATAAAATAAGATTATTTGTAGACATGCACATCAGAGCAAGCAGCAGCATATAACGTCGTCGACGACAAAGAGACGGATATCCATCAAACTGTTTGTTGGACAAAATGTCTGTCCAACCATGCATGATGCTGAGGCACTGTACTAAATCTGTACAACTAAAACATACGAATTGTCAACGTCTACCCGGCAGCACCAAAATCTTGTTGCGATCCATGACTACCCGACGCAGAAAAGGAAATTCCCCCAACCCCTGCATGGCTGCTCTGCCCGGCTCTATCCCGCGCTCCTCCCTCATAGGTTCCTTCGGGTCTTTCCATGCATGGATGCATGCACGTGCACCCCGCTCCAACATGTAGCCGCGGTATTCTTATCTTTTCGGTAAATCCAAAAAGCACAGATCATGGAAAAAATCAACAATAAGGGAAATGTTAACGTCCACCAGCAGGACATTGTTGTGCCCGATTGCGTGCACCCCAGCATGGTTATTATAATAAACATCCTGTTAGTTGTTGACAATTTTCTGAGGATATTTATGAAACTAAAATAGTCTCCCTTTGCATGATCGGTTATCGAGACCATAATGTTTATAATTACATTTTTCATTACACCATGGTCAACTACTCAACTGGAAGCTAAATGTGCTCCTTTTCAATTTTTTTCTATCTCTGCAACATGGCAATGCTTTAGATTTAGTGCATTTTTTATAGTTCAAAGTGAGCTCATTTGTTTGAACAAGAACATATGTCGTGTTGTTTGGGTAATTTACAATGAGTTTGTTTGGTTTTAGTCCATCTATTTTGGTTGGAATTTTGAGCTTTTTACACTGCCTGATGATCGCCAATTCAGTCATCGTCCTGCCATGCAAACCACATTTCATTTCTTTTGCCCACAAAATTTGCTCATACATAGGTATTGGGCATGAAAAAACTAAGTGGAACAAAACTTTTTTTCGTGAACACTTGTTGCTATTTATTTGCAACTTCATAGAGTTGCCATGATGATATGCAAATACGGATCGCTCGTGTCATCTTAATAGGTCCGTTGGGACAGCAGCCACAAACAACACCTAATCATCGAAGCACGATAGAAAACTGGTTGTTAAGGCCTCCCCTTAGGGAAAGGCTCCGATGATTGCAATAAGTCTTCTTTGCTGAAATTGATTTTAATCCAAACTTGTGATCACTGGCAAATTGGTAGTTGTTAATATAACTCATCTGCCCCGGTTGTTGCAACCACCTCTAAAAAAACAAAAGATTCAGCCATGCTTTTCTATGGTTGGGGATGGGTAGATTTGAAATCTATGGTGTTGTTTAGATCCTCAATTTTTTGTCAACTTTTTCAGGTATTAAAGTTACTTTGTTTCGAAGACAAGGAAGTTCGATTCTCTGCCCCTAACCCTCCTAAACCTAAGAAGAAAGCGACAAATGATATATTCACAAAGAATATCGTATATAAAGAGGTTCTAACTCCATAAAAGAGGTAATACATCACATGTCGATACATATTTTTTTAGATATCAAATAGTACTTTAACTTTAAAAATTAACAAACAACTTATATGCAGATACTTCTAACTACAGCTTCAGTTGCAAAAAGTCAGACGCCGCATCTTAGACTAGAAAATCTTATGGATCATCATTGATTGGTGACCAACTGCAGCTTGGTATTCGTGCAAAGCACGTTCTCTTAGTCGAACTATTGAGAGATTAGATTCTTAATTATAGAATAGATTCTAAAACATGTATTGTGAAACACAAACTTGTTATGATTATCTTTCCGTAGCACTTGATTTCTAAAGAAGTGCAAGCTTATCTTTCGCGTATCGTAGGCATGAAGTGATGCGACCATTGAAGTTGATGTTTTAGTTTTGCATTCAAATTAAGAGTTATATTTTAACTATCTATCTTTTGTGAAAACTTATGTAATATTGATTGGAACATTATGATTACGGTATCTATTTTAGATAATAGTATAACACACGCTCATACATATGTTATCGTGGTACTATGTGTTTCCATTGCAACACACGAACATTTACCTAGTTAGGGTAAAAAAAACCCTGGCGGCCGGGCGGGAATCTTTTGCTCTCCCGGCCCTGATGCATGGTCGATCTCAGTCCGGTGGAAATGGAATCTTTCGCATCGCGAGCGCTAAACAATGCGGATGTCTGACAGACAAGGCACGTTTCTTGCGGCACGCGCAGACGTAGTGGACTAGCAATGCACGCCGGACAACGAACGCGGCCGGCGGCCGGCGGCAGGCCGGACTCTCGCCCCTACTAGTAGTAGTAGCTTATTACGGCCTCCACCGTACCCCCATGTGCTTGTCGTCGTCAATCACGCTAGGTAGCTCATGCATGCATGCACGTCCCGCGCTACAACTCACAAGATGTAGTACGTTGTTCCCACATGCACTTTTGCCTGCAGTCGTCCTCGCTCCCTCCGATCTTGTGCCACAGCAGCAAGCAACAAATCTTACTAGCTTTAGTGCCCAACAGAGTTCAAGATCGTCGTCCAAGCATAACATCAGGCACAGTAGGAGGAAGAAATGGTCACAGCATGCATGCATGCAGATATCATCAGCAATCCAGCTGCACTACCAAGTGATGAAGTGTACCACCCAGAATCCCAGTCCAAAGAAAGTGAGAAACAGTAACAAGTTTAAAGTTTTGCACAGTGTACCTCATGCATGCTCTGAAGCTCATGACACTATACCTCTGGTGAGAAAAAAGAGAGACAAGTACAACAGTAATACAGTATATAGGAGGAGGAGGAGGAGGTGAGGCCGGGCAGAATCTGGATCCCATTGTCACGGTCACACACACAGCCTGTAACACGCACGCACGCACGCACGCAGCTTCCTGCACGTGTATGCAGCCATGACACGGGGGTAATTAAGGTGCCCAAACACACACACACGCACGATCACTAGTACACTACACGGTAAAATCAGAAGAAGATGAAAAAATACAGCAGTAAAATTAAACACACACCTTGTCGTCGTTGATCATCAATCACTTCTCCCTGTGTCGTCCATCTGATCTCAGCAGTCAATGCAATTTACATCATCGTCACCTTCCCTTGAGAGCCGCCGCCGCCGAACCCTTCCATTCCGCCGTCCTCATGGCCGCCGTGCAAACTACCGGCGGCGGTTGTGCTCATGAGCAGCTGCTTGATGTCCTCGTAGTTGTACTCCACCGGCACCTGCTGATGGGCCTGCTGGTGAGCATCTTGCAGCTGATGAAGAAGCAGCCTGCTGTCATGCTCCATGCCACTGCCGCCATTGTTGTAGCCGAATAAGTAGCCGTCGAAGCTCAGCTCCTTGCCATGGCCATGGCCGCCGAACTGCGGCGGCTGCTGGCTGTGCGCGCCGCCGTCCGACGAGCTGCAACTCTGCTGGTCGCTGCCGAACACGATCATGCTGCCGCTCTCCTCCTTCACCACTTGCTGCAGGTGGTGCTGAAACTGCTGCTGCTGCTGCGCGTGCAGCAGTGACGACGGGGCGTTGGTTGGGATGCCAAGGCCTGCACCGGTGCTTAGCATGTAGTCCTGGGGCGTCTGCGGCAGTGCTAGTGCGGGGATGATGGGGTCGTGGTGGAGGACTCCGCCGGCGCCTGAGAAGAAGCTGTTGTAGGTGGCCTGGGGTAAGGAGGGTGACGACGTGTGCTGGAGCATCAGGTTGAGGCAGGGCGGGTGGTGCTGCTGCTGCCGCGGCGCGCGGTGAGGGTGTGGGGCGGCGGTGGAGCCGAGGAGCTTCTTCTTCAGCTTGGTGTTCCAGTAGTTCTTGATGTCGTTGTCGGTGCGCCCGGGCAGCTGCGACGCAATGATCGACCACCTGAGATAGATTTGTAACAGGCAGCTGATGAATTGATCATGCACATTCTCGATTCTTTTTTCTTTTTTTTTTTTGGTTTCGTTGTTCCCTTGTGCTAGCTTTGCTCATGCTACCTAGCTAGCTCAAGATAGAGAGAGTTTGTGTGTAATATACAACGAGAAAAAGGTAGCTAGATCATCTTCAAGAAGAATGAAATTTAAATCTAGCTTCCTTCCGAAGTCTGAACAGGTTAATTAGCTAGTACTTTTGCATATGTTTCTACATTGAGATACTTGGATGTAAGCAGAAAGGATCATTAATGCGTGTGGACTTTTGGGTCATAGTAATGGTAAAGGAAGGAGTTAGGTGGTGTTTGGTTGCCACTCCTAAAATTTAGTCGTTGTTCCATCGAATGTTTGACACATGCATGGAGTATTAAATATAGACTAATTACGAAACTAATTGTATAGTTTGCGACTAATTTGCGAGACGAATCTTTTAAGCCTAATTAGTCTATGATTTGACAATGTGGTGCTACAATAACCATGTGCTAATGCCGGATTAATTAGGCTTAAAAAATTCGTCTCGTGGAGTACTGACGGATTATGTAATTTGTTTTTTTATTAGTATCCGAACACCCCATGCAACATCCTCCCGACACACCTCCTAAATTTTAGTTACTGGATCTAAACATCAACTTAGTCCAGAACAGATAGGACTATATATCCAGTTTTTTTCACCCACCTGCTTCCTATACTTGCATACATGCTGCAGATGACCCTGTCTTCGTTCTCAGTGAACTCCCCATGTTTAATGTTAGGCCTCAGGTAGTTTAACCATCTAAGCCTACAGCTCTTGCCACATCTCCTTAATCCTACAATCACAATAACAAAATCCATTACAAATTAAACTTGGAGTAGTCCAAGTTGAAATTTCTTGAAATTTATTGTTTGATGAACACAGGCAAGATGATAGACCTGTTCGCTTGACTGAAATTGGCTGAAAAAACAAGCCAAAGCTGAATTATTATGAGAGAAAAATACTGTTCCGTCTGAAAAAAGAAGCCGAACAAGCCGACTTTTAAGTTAAGCCGAATGGGGCCAGAAAGTAGCATGCAATTATGGGCATGATACGAAATTATCACATGGAAAGACTTGTATGACAAGCCTTCTTCGGTTAGGAACCTGGGACTTTGACTTGCCAGTTGCTACTACAATTAAGAGTCCTGCTATAGTCGCATGATACCCGTTTGGCTGGCAGAATTTTGACTGAAACTGGCTGAAAAACACTGTTCCGGCTGAATTGTTGTGAGAGAAAAATACTGTTCCGACTGAAAAAAGAAGTCGAACAAGCCGAATATGGGGTAAGCTGAACGGGGCCGACAACGATCCTTGTCGGAATACTCCACATCTAAGGAAATGGTCAGTCAAAAACCGAAAGACGAAGATCGACATAACCGAAAATACACTAGAGCTTACTTCTATTTTTATTTAAAATGAGATATACTCCAATTCCATTGAACAACGGAAATCATCACAGAGTTTAATTTGGGTAGGGTGAAAGAGGTGAGCCATATTAGCATAGCGAGATTGTAAATAGAGGACAAAGAGCGCCTGTCTCGGACCCAAACACTTACAGGGCTCATGTCTCTAAATCATCAGGAGACCGGGAAAGATACAAATTAATTACTGGTACATGCATAGCAAACACATGTTTGATCCTAGAGGGTACGCAGAAAGAAGTTATGATCATCCTGACTAAAAGGGCATCCAAATTCGAAAATAGTGAAGCAAATAAATCTTGAAGATTAATAGAATGCTAGCAAGTTATAGACAGAGAGGAGGGGCGGGGAAGAGGGAGAAAATCTTTTGCTCTGATAGCATTGTTGTAATAAATTCATGAGAGAAAGCATATATATGTTTTCCTTCTCTCTTGTTTTTCTTCGAAACAAGATGTCTCAGAATACTCCTAATAAAGAGTGATCCCAAACAGATCAAAGGAAAATAACATAAAAAGGCAAACAAATTAGAAAAACAGGACATCGATCAGCATCAAGAATCTAGACTGTTTAGATTCAGACTCAACTGATAACAGCATGAAATCCCCAATTTGAACAAGCTGCATCTATGTATATGTAGCTTGACAAATCATGTATATATAGTACCTGCTTTTTGAGGAAGAGCGATCCAATTCCCACCGGTGCCGTGCTTCTCGATGAACTCCTTGAGCTTGGCATCCTCCTCTGGAGACCATGGCCCTTTCTTCACATTGTTCTTGTCGCAGCACGGAGCCCTCCCCATGAGGTTGCAGCAAAGCGATGTGCCCGGAGACGAAGCTAAAAGCAACACCTAGCTACCAAATCCCACTGCTCCTAACCTTTTTTGCTAATTTTCTAGCTTCCTGCCCAGGCAGCTTGCTCTGTGCTATCTAGCTAGATGACATAGCAAGGAACACTGCCCTTTGTTGAGAGGCACAGAAAGCAAGGAGCCACAGAAAGAGGAGACAGCACAAGCCAACAAAGAGCGCACAAAAAATATATAAGACTGATGAGAGAGTCAGTCAGGCTGGTGAGCTGCAGAGAGATGCAGAGAGAGAGAGAGAGAGAGAGAGAGAGAGAGAGAGAGAGAGAGAGAGGGTAAGAAGTCAATGTGTGGCCGGGATAGTATATAGTATATGTGTTTGGTTGCAATCACTTCCTGCTTGATGGTTGGCCCCTACAAATCTTAGCACCAGAGGGAAAAAGGTTGTCTAGTTTGATAATAGGACAGCCTAGCCTTGCCTTACCCCACGATAGCCCTGTCTTTTCTGTAAACAAAGTACACTTGCACATGGAATCGCCCAAGGCGCGTGTTTGTTTGCAGGTAGCCTGGCACCGGATGGCATCAGGCCGTATAGTGAATCACCGAAGTATGTGTACTTGGGCTAAATGTGGTGGTGTCGTCTCTCACAAGAATTTGCATACATGTTAAGTTTGGAGAGATTATTAGTAAGCCCTTGTTTAGTTGCTACCCAAATTCCAAAAAGTCGTCTCTCACAAGCATTAAATGAATTTGCATAAATTACGTTAAGTTTGGAGAGATTATTAGTAAGTAGATGCATGGCACATGATGGGTAGTTGTCAGTGACACCTATCTTTGGTATTAGAGTTCTTTTCTCCTATGATAAGATTTGATAGATAGCATATCTCATACACTACCAGAAACCTCAAATTTGCCGAGTGTTTTTATGTTTACAGAGTGCATTCCCTCAGGCACTCGGCAAACAAATTCTTTACCGAGTGTTATCCTAAAAACACTCGGCAAAAAAAACACTCAGCAAAGAGGGGGGTTTGAAAACACTCGGCAAATAGGGAGTTTACCGAGTGTCAAAAAAAACACTCAGCAAAATGAAAGTTTTGCCGAGTGTCAAAAGGAACACTTGGCAAAGAAAAAAAAACACCGCCGGCCCTAACACGCAGACAGCCGCGGCGCCCATCACTCCTCTCCGTCTCCTTCCCTCTTGCAGTCTCGCCCGCGGCCCGCCCGTCCCTCTCCGTCTCCTTCCTCCCACTCCCCCACAGGCAGCGGCGGCGGCAAGGCTCCTTCCTTCTCTCTTTCCTCTTCATCTCCCCCACAAGCGGCGGCGCCTCTCTCCTCTTCATCTCCCCCACAGGTGGCGGCGGCCTCCTCTCCCTCTCCCCTGCAGGCGGCGGCGCTCTCCCTCTCCCCGAGCGCGGATCTGGCCTTCCCCCACCACCGGCGAGCCGGAGCACCTCCACAATTGGCGGATCCGGCGCCCCTCCCCCTTCTTCCCCGCCACTGAGCATGGACCGGGTCACGATGGCCCCTCGGCGGCGAATCCGGTCATGGCAGGGGCAGATCGGGCTACCGCGGTGAAAGCTCTAGTTTGGTTTTGGTAAATTGATGAAACCCTAAGTGCTAACCTAGTTCATCAAGTGATCATGAGATAGGTAGCACACTTCAAGTAGAGAAGCAAATGAAGATCATAACATGACAATGGTGATAGCATGGAGATTATCAAGGGCTTAAACTTGAAGAGAAGAAAGAGAAAAACAAAAAGCTCAAGGCAAAGGTATAACTTGTAGGAGCTATTTTATTTTGGTGATCAAGACACTTAGAGAGTGTGATCACATTTAGGTTTGATAGCCGTACTATTAAGAGGGGTGAAACTCGTATCGGAATGCGGTTATCAAAGTGCCACTAGATGCTCTAACTCATTGCATATGCATTTAGGATCTAGTGGAGTGCTAACACCCTTGATAATATTTGTGTAAATATGCTACCACATGTGCACAAGGTGTTTATAGGGTTGAGATGGGTTTGGGTCCATCAACTTTCAAATTGATTTTTCAGTCCCCTAAACTATTTAAGTGGTCTTCCGAGGTTCATACCCTTTTGCTTGGCCCTTAAATCCGATATAGGATGTACACTCAATAGCCAACATGGTGGAGCGATGTATAAAATGCAACCAGCCTCTCTTTCTCACTCTATCTCCCTGTCTACTCGGCCTCCCATGCCACCACCACTGTCCTCCATGCTCACGCTTGTTGCCACCAACCCTCGCACCTCCCACGCTCTTTTGAACCGCATATACCTCCCTTGCTGGTGATGCCCTCTGTGCCTCCCTCGCCCTCTGTACTGGTGGCACTGCCCTTCACACTTGGCCTGTGGTCTGGCCTCTCGGCTTGTGGGGAAGGCTCGGTCGATGCCTAGCCTAGGACGAGCGTAGGGAGTGGTCGTGAGTGTTAGCGCAGGCAGTGGATAAGTAGGCAACAGTAGCGGTGCTGCTAGGCGAAGACGAGGAGCGTGGCTGGTGGCACTGTAGCGCGGTGGGCATGGGGAGGCCGAGTGGGTCATGCATGGGTCGTGACGGGCCAAGCACAATGGCAAGGCAGGGCCATAGTCGTGTGATGCTAGCCATGTGCAATCCACGACGAGCCATGATCTTGGGCGGATGCAGCATGGGGGGGCGAGGCCTGAGGACGAGCGTGAGGTGGCCAGATACTGGTTGCAAGGCCCAAGGAGGAGGAGGAACCAGACGGTGAGGGATAGAGATGGTGGTCTAGCTAGAGTTGGCCCTGGGTAGCAGCTAGAGCACGACGAGTGGGCCCGGGTGTCCCGAGGGCCTAGTGGACTACGAGGCGAGGAGGACATCAGCAATGGCCATAAGCAAATCGGTGCCACAAAGGAGTAGGACAAACTCCACCGGCTGCTCTCCAAAGTGCTTATTGTCAACAAGGTCGTGCGCCACGAGGTCCTTAGTGATCTACAACCACTGGGCCGCCTGCATGCGATCGTCGGTGGGGCCGATCTGTCACCCCCCACTCGCACTTATGTCGTCCATGGTAATTTTGGGGAGGAATGGTGGGTGCGAAGGCTATTGGTTTGTTTTTCGGTGGAATCATGCAAACAACATCGACCGGTTGTGGCCTTGCCTCGCTATTGTGCAGGCCCCACTACCGGACATGAGGGAGAGTGATATGGCAGCACTAGAGGAGGATGTGAACGATGCGGCGCGACATAGGAGTTGCACAAGCGCAGGGATGGGAGGCACGACGGTGTATGCGAGACAGGGATGACGGGTGGTTTGAGAAAGAAGAAGAAGAAGATGGGGGAGGGAAACAAGGGGAATGACTTATTGCTTTTTACACATGATTTCTCTGCCATCGTGCCACGCTGGCTACTAACTACATAATTTGAGAGTTGATGGATCTACATGCCTCCCTCAAAAGTAATAGACCTGTGGTGCATTTTTCTCTAAACTTTCAATAACACATGAGTTGTTAGATCTTGGTCTAATATAATGGTTAGGAAAAATAGCTAAAAAATAATAAATCTTTTATCACAACATTTCATGATACTCTTGATAATTTCTATATGTCAAGACATTTCCCCTCTGCATGTCTAGTGTTAACTAGTTGTGCTATCTAGCTTCCTTCCTGAAATCATAATTTGCAGCAATTCAGCCACATACTCAAAACAAGGCATTGTGAAGTGTTTTCGAGGCCTCCAACACATGGATTCTGATGTCTCCAGAATTGAGATTTGTGCTTTAGATACAGTGAATGCACGAGACAAGAAAAGTTCAAGTGTTTTTAGCCACATAATAACATCATGTTTGTTTTGTTTTGTGCCTTGAACTAATGCCACTTTACACTATAGTTATGGTCAAATTTTTGTATATATTTTAGCTATGACTGTGTAAAAGAAAATAGGGTGTTATATATTAGAAACTCGAATAACATATGTTTTCTTTGTTAGTACAAAGTTTGATCAAATCTACGTCATCGATGTCAAATTGGTTTGGTAATATAAAACGTAGTCTTGAGAAATACTACAACACTTAGGGTTTTTTCTAATCTTTTATAAGGTGTTTGGATGTTCGCATGCAATAAAGCTTGTAGTTCAAAATTCTTAACAATTTATCTAAATCATGGTTTTCCACATCTTTGGTTCATAGAACTTTGGTCTCGATATATACCACAGTTTTTCACAATCAGAACAACCAAATAGGCCCTACATCTTGACAACGTACAATGTTGTGCGCTGCGTCAATAATAAGCTTACCTAGTAGCTAGCTAGTCCCACTGTCTCTGGCTGGCGCAGCGCATTTCTCACTCAATTCATGCATTAAATTTTAATATAGCAAGGCTGCCATTGCCTGGTTGCAAATCTTGTGTGCATGCATTAAGCCCCTAACTATTAGTGGCAAGACGCAATTGCATTGCAGTGATCAAAGAGAATAAATATATATATAACAATAATATATATACTCGCAATAATTGCGTTACGTATGCATCTGTCTCGTACGTAGGTACGTTGACCCCTGCCTGGAGTACTATTATTCCCGTCGATCGTGCCCATCTCGAATCTTTCGTTCCTTGCATTGCTTGGGTAACTCTGTCACATGCCCATTTGTTTAAAAATTATGGCTCGATCGATGAGACACCAGCCGCCGTCCATGTCACAATATTTCTGGCGATTTTGATCTGGGACACGACCTTTCCTGCGTCATGCGGGAGCTGTGTACATCAGCCAGCACTCAGCAGGCGGCAAAGGTCGAAGCACAACTGTCCGGGAGCACACCTAACATGGTCATATGGTCATGGATCACGTATACTCCTACTCCTATATCATTGTATGTAGATATATATTTACATATAAATATATATAGATGTGTGTGGACCAGCCGATGGGCATTATGTGTGGCGACGGATGTTGGATATAATAACAGGGGCCTGCCTCTCGGCACTCGCCAGCAGCATGTGGCGCCAATGATTGCTGAAAATATATTACGGGAG